CCGAGATCACCGGAGTGCCTGACAGTGATGACTGCTGCCGTGTGCCAGCTGCGTGGGGAGTTTCCAAGAACATCTTGACAGACGTTTTTGAGGGGCGAGGGGAAGGATTTAGGTATCCACTGGGATGTGCAGAGCTCCCTAAACAAGGCACGGCACAGCTAGAGAGGATGAATTGAGGCTGAGGGGAGGACAGGCTGCTCAGAAAAGGTCTTGTGAGAAGAGAATTAATGGGGATGGGTTGGCAAGACGAAGCATCGCTCGGGGGATTGGCATGCAGGCGCTTTGAGAAGCGAGCGTGGTGCAGATGCTTCTGTGCAGGGCTGGGAAATAGAAAATGAGGCATAAATTCTTATACCCTGTTCTTTCCCTTGACAACAGCTGAAGCAGCAAACCTCCCTCCCTTGACAGAGGCGCAGAAGAACAAACTGAGGCATCTGTCAGTCGTCACTCTGGCTGCCAAGATCAAGGTAGTGGCCCTGTTTTTCCCCGAGTTCTCCTTCCACTGGCGTTACCTCATGCTAGTTACCGTCGTGTTTCCACAGTGCATCCCCTACTCAGTGCTGCTGGAGCAGTTACAGCTGAAGAACGTCCGGCAACTGGAGGACCTCGTGATTGAAGCTGTGTATGCAGATGTGCTTCGAGGAAGCTTGGATCAGCGAAACCAGCGCCTGGAGGTGGATTACAGCATTGGGAGGGACATCCGGAGGGAGGAGCTAAGCACCATCACCCGCACATTGCAGGAGTGGTGAGGAGGAAGCCCCCGATAATAACACCCAAAAAAGGTTGCAGGAGTGGCCAGCTGCTTCCCTGGATCCTCTCTGTGTTGCTGGGGGGGTTGTGTTGTGAGGTGACCTACTCAATCCCCTTTCCCAAACTCCATCGGAAAGTTATTTTCCAAAAATAGTTTTCCAAATTCCCCTGTTTGTTGCTGGAGGGGTGATGAGACCACAGCAACCTTTGCACAGTCCTGGCTGCTGTCAGGAGCCTTTCTGAGTGTAACTATCTGTAGTCCCTAACCTCCTGTCACTTTATGATTTGTCCCCCTCCCAGGTAATAACATCACTCCGTTACTACGTTGAACTCCTGCTCTTGTGTCTTCCCTGCCTTGTATAGGTGGCACCTTCTGGTCTTTTTTGGCCTCTAGAGTTGAAATCTGTCATCTTTCACATCTCTGTGCTGTGTCAATTACCTGGCCTGTTCAGTTCTGTGTCTTCTCTCCAGGTGCCAGGGCTGCGAGGTTGTCCTGTCGGGCATTGAAGAACAGGTTAGCCGAGCCAACCAACATAAAGAGCAACAGTTGGCACTTAAGCAGCAGATAGAGAGCGAGGTGAGTGTGCCAAGGAGGGATTAGCCAGTGCCCCGCACGTAAAAATAATAGAACCAGTACCCTGTGGTTGTTACACTCTTTGCTCAAGTGAGGTAGTACCTTTTCCTCGGGCCAGACCCGCCACGGGGTTGTGCCTGAAGAAGAGTGAGTCCTAAATCAGCTTAACTCCTCTGCAGCGCAGAGATCTGGGCAGCTGTCAGCTCTTTTGTTTGACCTCATCTTGCAGCTCTTAAATCCAGGGCTTTAAAACAATCAAACAAACAAACAAAAACCCCAAAGAAAACCCAAACCAACTAAACAAACTAAAAAAATAAAAAAAACCAACCCTAAAACTGTGGAAAATGCCTTGGTTCTTGCTTTTTCTACTGTTGCAGGTGGCAAACCTGAAGAAGACCATCAAAGTGACGACAGCAGCTGCTGCAGCAGCCACATCCCAAGACCCGGAACAGCATCTAACAGAGCTCAGGGAGCCGGCCCCTGGCACCAACCAGCGCCAGGCGAGCAAGAAAACTTCCAAAGCCAAAGGGTGAGGAGTGGGGGCAAACCACCGGAGCCGTGCTGTGCGTGGCGGGGTCAGGAGGTGAACTGAGGGGAGCAGTGGGTTTTGGGGCAGTGAGGTTACTGACGGCAGGGGGCTGCTCCCTGGGCGGGGGATGGTCACAGATGTCGTCCTGGCTGAGCTTGTCTCCTGCTAATTTGCGGGAAGATCTCTGCAGCTCTTGATGCGAAGCAGGGTTCACAAGCCTTCCTTATGTTCTCCTCTTGCAAAGGTCAATCGCTCTTCTTTATGTGCATTTAGGAAAGGAAGTCAGAGGTGAGCCTTAGTGTCCACTCTCAATTGTTGTTTTGTTTTTGGTTTTGTTTTTTTTTTTCTAATCTCTCCACAGGCTCCGGGGCAGTGCGAAGATTTGGTCTAAATCAAACTAGGTGGATCTCCCTTCACAACTGGGAGGGTGAGAGGAAGAGATTTGGGGGATGGAGGGGTAGCAAGGGTCCCGAGTGTGATGCTTCTGAGCTCTTCTCTGACATCCATCTTGCCAACTAATTCTCCTGCATGTTTGTTCTCTTTCCTATCTCCTTTACCGACTTTCCAGGCAGTGCCTCCTTCCCCCTCATCACAGCATTTCACACTCTAAGCTTCCAGTTGCAGGCGTTGCTGTTTCCCCTGCCCCTCACGCCCCCATCGCCACGGCCGCGTGTTTCTCTCTTTCTCTCTCCCTGTCTCCTGACAGGTCAGTTTAAAGAGCCATGAAACTGTGTCGGTCACCTTTGCACCCGCGGGGCATCGCGGTTCGAGGCCCCTGGGATACTTGGCTCCAGGATGCAGCTGCCATCTTTGATTGTTCAATCTTTGTTTTGCTAGGTGGGAGGGTAGTTTTTGAAGGGATTCTTTTAAAAAATATATAAATATATTATAAATATA